TCCTGGCCGGCCCCAGGCGTTGTAGGAAAGCCTGCATGTGCAGTCTGGAGCTGGCTGGGGACTGCTCGAAACAGGACAGTCCTCAGCCACCTCCAGGCTGCATGTGCTTCGCTGTGCAGCCTGGGTCTGGCTGGGAAATGTCTCGGTCAGGGGCAGGTCCCAGCCAGCTCCTAGGCTGGGTGGGGAACTGTCCCCATGCAGGAAGCAGGCTCCCAGCCCCCACTCCACAACTGCGGAGTGGGGGCTGGAAGCTCCTTGCTGCCAGGGCAGGAGGACATTGTCCCCATCCCAGCATTCAGGGTGGGAACTGGGGAGCTTCCCCCTCCCGGTTCCATAGGGCTGGGGGTGATGAAAACAAGCTCCCCAGCCTGTTCCACCCCCCAGCCCTGTGCTTGTGGAGCTGGGTGAGGAGAAGGACCCCGGGTACCCACCATCAAGGGGGTCCCAGTGCTGGCTTCGCAGTCACAAGGCCACTGCTGGGAGCTGCTTATCTCCCAGCCTGGGCTTCACAGTCATGGGGCTTGGGCTGGGAGACCCTTATCTCCCAGATGGAGCACCACAGTTGCAGGGCTCAGACTGAGAGAGAAGGGTTTTCCAGCCCAAGCCCAACAACCACAGAGCTCAGGCTGGGAAATAAGCATCTCCCAGCAGTGGCCCTGTGGCTGTGGAGCTGCTTCTGGGAGATAAGGGTCCCCCAGCCACCCACCCCTCAATAGCGAGGATCTCAGGATCTCCCAACCCCCACTCCTCAATTGTGATCTCGGAGCAGGAGGCTTGAAGCTCTCTGCTGCCAGGGCAGGGGGACATAGTCCCCTCCCAGGCTCCTGTGGTGGAGTCCATCCCAGCAGCAGGCAGCTCCTGGGAGCAGGGAGTGATCCCTTGGTGGATGGCTGATTGGGAGCACGTTTTGCTCCTGGTCAGACATATACATAAGTGCTACAGTGCCTTTACTAACCCCAAGTATATTTGCTACTTGCATTTGCAGTTTGCAAATGTACTTGGGATTGGGGGCGTTTACTGCAAAGTAAGCATGTGCACATGTAGATGCACATGGTTACTTCGCAGTAAACTTCACTAATGCAAAGTAAACATCTTGGGTAGATATGCCCTGCAATAAGTAGGAAAGGGCCAGATCTGAAGCCTACTGAAGTCAGTGGAAATGGAAGTCCGTGTATTGATTTACCAGACTTAATTCCAGTCACAAAGATGTGGATTCTGAAAGCTCCGACACTATATTAAGTCCAAGGATTACTTTCTAGCAACACAAATTTCAGAGGAAAAAAGGGAATTAGTAAAGGTAGGAAGCAGCATTCTTATGGTTTCCTAAGTTTTTGCTGTAGGGATTCCCTTTTTAGCAATGTGATCTTTCTCCCGCACCAAGCAATTAGAATCAATTCAAACCTCCTGTACTCTCTCAAGCATCTTTTTAAAAAAAACAACAAAAAAACAGGTGTTTTATCTGCACATTTAGATACTCCAAACCTGAACACTTTCAATCAGGTATGAAACATAAATTATCGCAAGAGGAAGAACCTCTGAAATGCCCATCGTTTCAAGGGGTGGTACTCTTTTCCTAGATGCCCTGCCATTGCGTGGTTGTGCCACTTCTATTTACAGCCAAAACAGAGAATCATGAAGTAAAGGGCATAGAAAGCATTACATTATTTTATATTTTAAAAAAAAGAATCCTACCACATTTTGTTTCCTGCATTAATCACTTCTGTGTATCCCTCACTTTTTATTTTTGTCACATGTTGCGTCCCGTATTTGGGCATCTGCTGGTTGAGAAATATAGCTCTGATGCACCAGTCAGTCATTACACTGGCACTTTTTCCATACCTCAGCAACTTCAACTCATGTCTCTTTAAAAAAAAGAGAGCCAGACAGAGAAAAAAGAGGTGAAAGAAGTAGATCAGGCATACAGGTCAGATGCATAAACATCAACAAAGCAATTACAATGGTTTTCAATACAAACCATTATTTCCTGAAACATATAAAATGCTCATTCATGAGAGCTGGAATGAGGCAATTATAATATACAAATTATAAGATACCAACTGTTCAGCTGTGGGGCCCAGAGTTACACAAATACATTTTTCAACATAAGATTTTACAGTCAAATGACCATCATAATTCAGAGATATATATGTGCATATTGTAAGTGGAAGAGAAAAGATTAAAATCTCAGCTTGAAAACAGTTTAGCAATTTGTGCAAAATCTCTGAATTTTGTTTCTTCTCTCTTTTTTAACTTTCCAATTACGTACCCGGTCCCCCAAAATTACCATTATTGTACTTCATAAAGCTTGATGTGCATACCAAACACAAGATTAAGGGTGCAAACTCTTCCCTTTGCTGATGTTTTTAATTGAAGGTAAATAATTATACAATATATTCTTCCTTCTGTTTTAAGGAAACATAGTCCTTGAGAAGGGGAGTGGATTAGCATCACTGGAGACAGTAATTATTGTTGTCTATTAATTAATAGTCCTCGTGCCCTGCAATTGTAGACAGATGAAACTCCCATTAAAATCCAGGATGATCTTAGCTTCAGCAGCACTGCTCCACTCAAGTGCCTCTCCTCTAACTTGTAGTGACCACCTTAGCCATGGGAAGGGCAGTCAAGTTCTCAGCAATTAGTGCCCCTTTGGGAATGCTGGTGGTTGAGATCTGGGGACACAAAATTGTGAGTATTTAGTTCCCCCAGTCCCATGAACCAGCACATGTGTTTTGAAACTATCATATAACTACAAGAGCCCCACACTTATAGCTAGACTTTCTTCCTGCTTTCTCCAGGTGTTAATCAAATTCTTGCCTTTACATTTTCTGGGAGGCACCAGTTGAACACAGGCTCCCAGTGCAATGCTGTAGCTAATAGGCTG